AGTTTGCCATGTTACGGTTATTGATGAGTTATTTTATCTGTTCTCTAACCCACCATGACTGGTGGGTTAGAGAACAAACTTGAGTCACCAGTAGATAAACACAGTAAAGATCGCGGTTTTGCCCTTCATCAACGGGCTGGCCACATAGCGTTTTCCGGGTTTTCTTCACATGTATGGAAACATAGCGTTTCCATGTATGGCCACATAGCATATAGCATTTCCATGTATGGCCATATAGCACATAGCATTTCCATGTATGGCCACATAGCATAGCATGAAAACATAGCGTTTCCATGTATGGAAACATAGCATTTCCATGTATGGCCCGTGTATGGAAACATGTATGGCCACATAGCGTTTTCCGGGTTTTCTTCACATAATACGTAAATAGAGATCGGTTTCCCATAGTTTTCAGTGTACGGGACGCACTTACATTGATATGTGTTGCATTGTCTTATCTAATTCAATCTGTTCTCTATTCTTTGGCAAGACTGGCATGGCTGTTCCACTGTTCCATATCAGGAAAATAAATCATATTTCTGCCAACATTGCCCTCCAGTTCATCGAGTTAACGCAAACCCTCACAACACAATGAATTTTTCTAAAATTGTTTTGTTATTTAATTTTAGATTCGTTCTTATAAGGCAAAGTAAAAACGTTTTGTTTTTTATATAATAATCTGAAATTGATAATTCCACATTCATAAAATAACAAATTTCCAAGCTGACTGTAGTGACTCATTACAATTAGTAAATTACACATTTAATATGAAAGTCTTATGTTGTGTTTTCTAATCAGCTTTCCATTTACCGGAAAAAACACGAATTTTTGTGAATAAGTTTTATAATTATAACTGAAAAATTAAATTAATTCATGCTTATATTATAAAAAATTATGAATAATTTATTATATACATTTTTAAAATAAAATGAAATAAAACAAAATTATTAATCGGCTATAATTTCTAAATACAAATTATAAATAAAGTAAATAAAATAAATGATAAAAAATTTATTTATAATTAAAATTGATATGAGTAATTGTATATAAATCAAGTAATTTTGTTAAATATTACAAATAAATTGTAAACTAACAAGATTATTTTAGATGTTGCTTTTAATTTACGTTGGTTTTGGTAAATTGTAAACCAAATTGTAAAATCCAGATAAATAAATGAATATGATGTTTGAATTTAAGAGATTAATTTATATATTAAATTTTTATAAATTCCTAGATAAAATCTGCGATTCGATTATCTTATTTTAAAAATATACTTAACTGAAAAATCCTAATAGTTTTCCGAGTTCTGAATTTTGTGGAAAGCGACATTACATTAGCAATTAAAGGCTATAATGCTAGCTCTGAATGATCCTGACCAACGTAGACAAGGAAGAATGTGCCACATATTCGCGGAAAATTATGAGGATTCGGATTGGATTCAAATCGGGATCTTTCACGAGTTAGGGCTTTATCATACGACATTGAAATTCGATCAATTATTCTTCTACCACATAAATTATACAGTATCTAATAAATTACCCGTATTTTAGTATCAATTTCATCTATATTTTTTAAAATATAATTTATAAATGAAATGTTGTTATCGCATTTTAATTAGATAAATTTTATTATGATTCGTTAACATAATTAAAAGCTGTCAGGTTGATAAAAATTCTAATATATATTCTCAATTAACAATGATAAAGTTTCCGATCGTTATTATTATTTCTATCATAGACTGCGTTTTTTAATTAATATACAGTATATATATAAGAAAAAAAAATGAAATTGTAACGATAAACTTTATTTTCACTAATAATTAATAAAATAAAAATGAGATTTAAATAACAAATTTGGATCATAACAATAGGCTATTTAGAAATAAAAAAGTATAGTATTTTTATTTATAAATTTAAAAAATGTTTGTATTTGCTTCAATTCTTCAGTTATGAACTCACCAACGACCGAGTGAACACTGAACACTGGTCGCGGGTTCATGGCTCATCAATGGGCTGGTACATGGAGTTTTCTAGGTTTTCTTCACTTAAATAGGGATCAGTTTTCCATAGGAGGTCCTCCCGGAAGGGGAGATCTTTCTATGGTCGCTTGGCAGATCGTCCAAGTTGTATATTTGCTTTATTCTATCAATTCAATTCAATACTTTATTTATGATACATACATTAAATCAAAAACTAGTTAATTAAATGTCATCAACAACGTTTAAAAGGTAAACATTTTTAATAAAATTAAAAATAATTAAAATCTACTTTTATGTTTTATTAACTAGTTTAAAGCAACGAGCAGATACATCTATAATTTTCCTTTAAATAAGAAACATATTTACCATTCATTAGATTTTCCTTAAAAAATTGCTATCGTATACCAAAGCAATTAAATGTTTGCGTATTTAATTAATTCTAATTGACATCACTCAACTTATGAAAACAATATAAGGTACTGTACGTAACACCGAATAGTTTACATAAAATAATTAAACTTCTGGAGATGAATGAAGTAACGAATGTTTATTAAACAAATAATGTATTTACAAATATAAAATTTCATTAATGTTTTCATTAATTATAAAAATGTATTTATTGATGTCAAAGAAGTAGAATTATTGATTTAAAAATATTAATATTAATGCTTCAGAAGATCGATAGTTTTAACCGATTGATTGTAGAATTAAAATTGGTCTACTTATATTTTACATTCAGTTTCCTTATAGATAATTGTTTATACCATTAATTAATTTCCTTTTACAAGTTTTCGTGTAGGTTCATGTTTCAAGACCTGTACGTTACTGAAAATGTGTACAGTACCTATACATTATCATATATCTTATGAATTTCGCTAAGTTACTTAAATTTATAGAAATTTGTTTACTCATTCTTTTCTATACCATTCCATTTACTTATGAAGACTTTCCTTAAAAAAAAACACATGGTTTGAGATAAATAAACACGAGAATTTATAGATAATTATTTTAAATATTTATAAATTTATTAATAAATATAAAATATTTAAATGTTTATGTATATTTATTTACAGAAATAGCAACATTTCCGAAAATAAGTTCAACAATCGCTCTCTAAAGAACAATTACAATTATGATTAAAGTTTAATTGATGTTTATCCCTATGAAGTAAGTTTGAAACGCTAAAAAAATTAATGTAATTAGTTGTAGTCATTGCTTAGTATCATTGATTTAATCAATACATTCATTTCTATTACTTACAAATCTTAATATAATAAATAGGGGAGATCGGGGCAACTTCGGCATGCGGGGCAAGTTTGTCAAGCGCTTTTTTTTAAAAACAAATTAAAAGGAGACTTTGGTTATAGGTTAGGCAGTTGAGTTTTATTGGTGGCTTGTTGAGTGTAGTGTTTTTATTGTTCTCCAACAAGCGTAGTTGAATTATCAAGCAAATNATTGAAATTCGATCAATTATTCTTCTACCACATAAATTATACAGTATCTAATAAATTACCCGTATTTTAGTATCAATTTCATCTATATTTTTTAAAATATAATTTATAAATGAAATGTTGTTATCGCATTTTAATTAGATAAATTTTATTATGATTCGTTAACATAATTAAAAGCTGTCAGGTTGATAAAAATTCTAATATATATTCTCAATTAACAATGATAAAGTTTCCGATCGTTATTATTATTTCTATCATAGACTGCGTTTTTTAATTAATATACAGTATATATATAAGAAAAAAAAATGAAATTGTAACGATAAACTTTATTTTCACTAATAATTAATAAAATAAAAATGAGATTTAAATAACAAATTTGGATCATAACAATAGGCTATTTAGAAATAAAAAAGTATAGTATTTTTATTTATAAATTTAAAAAATGTTTGTATTTGCTTCAATTCTTCAGTTATGAACTCACCAACGACCGAGTGAACACTGAACACTGGTCGCGGGTTCATGGCTCATCAATGGGCTGGTACATGGAGTTTTCTAGGTTTTCTTCACTTAAATAGGGATCAGTTTTCCATAGGAGGTCCTCCCGGAAGGGGAGATCTTTCTATGGTCGCTTGGCAGATCGTCCAAGTTGTATATTTGCTTTATTCTATCAATTCAATTCAATACTTTATTTATGATACATACATTAAATCAAAAACTAGTTAATTAAATGTCATCAACAACGTTTAAAAGGTAAACATTTTTAATAAAATTAAAAATAATTAAAATCTACTTTTATGTTTTATTAACTAGTTTAAAGCAACGAGCAGATACATCTATAATTTTCCTTTAAATAAGAAACATATTTACCATTCATTAGATTTTCCTTAAAAAATTGCTATCGTATACCAAAGCAATTAAATGTTTGCGTATTTAATTAATTCTAATTGACATCACTCAACTTATGAAAACAATATAAGGTACTGTACGTAACACCGAATAGTTTACATAAAATAATTAAACTTCTGGAGATGAATGAAGTAACGAATGTTTATTAAACAAATAATGTATTTACAAATATAAAATTTCATTAATGTTTTCATTAATTATAAAAATGTATTTATTGATGTCAAAGAAGTAGAATTATTGATTTAAAAATATTAATATTAATGCTTCAGAAGATCGATAGTTTTAACCGATTGATTGTAGAATTAAAATTGGTCTACTTCTATTTTACATTCAGTTTCCTTATAGATAATTGTTTATACCATTAATTAATTTCCTTTTACAAGTTTTCGTGTAGGTTCATGTTTCAAGACCTGTACGTTACTGAAAATGTGTACAGTACCTATACATTATCATATATCTTATGAATTTCGCTAAGTTACTTAAATTTATAGAAATTTGTTTACTCATTCTTTTCTATACCATTCCATTTACTTATGAAGACTTTCCTTAAAAAAAAACACATGGTTTGAGATAAATAAACACGAGAATTTATAGATAATTATTTTAAATATTTATAAATTTATTAATAAATATAAAATATTTAAATGTTTATGTATATTTATTTACAGAAATAGCAACATTTCCGAAAATAAGTTCAACAATCGCTCTCTAAAGAACAATTACAATTATGATTAAAGTTTAATTGATGTTTATCCCTATGAAGTAAGTTTGAAACGCTAAAAAAATTAATGTAATTAGTTGTAGTCATTGCTTAGTATCATTGATTTAATCAATACATTCATTTCTATTACTTACAAATCTTAATATAATAAATAGGGGAGATCGGGGCAACTTCGGCATGCGGGGCAAGTTTGTCAAGCGCTTTTTTTTAAAAACAAATTAAAAGGAGACTTTGGTTATAGGTTAGGCAGTTGAGTTTTATTGGTGGCTTCTTGAGTGTAGTGTTTTTATTGTTCTCCAACAAGCGTAGTTGAATTATCAAGCAAATTTTCATTTTCGTTGAATTCCATATAATATTTTTTTTCCATTTATATTGAATTGGCAGGTTTTGTTATAATTCCATGATAACGAAAGTTACTTTTCCTGTTAGATGGATGTAACTTCAACTTATTCACGTGGCCAGATCGTGGCTTGGCATTCTGTTCTCAGGGTTGTACTTAATGTTTCGAAATCATGACTAGCGGGGTAAGATCGGCAACATAAAGCCACATTAGAAGCAAAGGATAAAAATCAAACAGATGATAAATGAAAACATGTTTGCATTTGTTATTCATGTATATATGTCTTTGAACTTGCATTTCGTTGTAATAATATTAAATGGGTGTTGGATTTGTATTTCTTTGTTTTAATAGTGAATTCCAACTTATACATTGTTAATAACATAATTTTATATACGTGCCTATCTTGCCCCATTACTGTTGCCCCTATACCAGGGGCAACTTTAATAAAAATAACTAAAATAATTACAACTTTACAAAAAGAGAGAAGTTGCCGATCTTGGCCCTATACCCGGGGCAACTTCGTCAATTTCTCTCTTCTTGTAAAGTTGTAATTATTTTAATTATTTTTATTTCCAAACTGATTTTAACCAGTACTATAGTAAGGTAACATTCCAATAGACAATATGCAAAGCTTTTTTTTTCAGTTTACAGTAGTATTTGTTACACAAAATTTAAGTAAAGCTTAACATGCCGATCTTGCCCCGATCTCCCCTATATTAATGTATAAATATAAAATATCGGATTCAGTTATTTAAATCTATTAACAATTCTTTTATGAAAATTTTTAAAACAGTTGATTTCAGTAATTAACTAAGATCAGAAATTCAAAACAGAAACACTGTCTACTGCAAATATTTATGCATTAAAATATGATTGGAATTTGGTAAATGTTAAACTAGAAATTATAAAATTAGTGAGGATTTTAATTTAAATTAACAAGCTTTATTATAATAATTACATGTGTTACCAGTTGAAATGCGAAGTTAATACGCGAGTCTTTACTTTCCGAATTCTTATTAAAGTTTAAATAATCGTTATTGTTTGACTTCTTTCGATTTATATCTTATCTATTATACATTACTGTTTTATTCCTAATTTATTTGTTTGACATAGAAAGTGTGTTTATGAAAAACAAATAAAAAATAAGAAAGTAAAAATTCAAACAACGTAAGATGTTTTATTATTTTTAAGTTATGTGAATATTCACATATCTATAAGTACAGTGTATACGCATGTGTTCTCCTTATTAATATTAAAAGGATAACTTTCTTGTAAAGTGCTCACTAGTCACCAAATGGATAAAACCAATAAACACTATTAGTTGGTGATGGGTTGGTGCCTCACTAACAGGGCTGGCACGTCTGGTTTTTCGGTTTTCTTGATGTATATAATACCTAAATAGACGTTAGTTTCCCATAGAAAGTCTTCACGGCGATCTGCCAAGGTCTCTTACCTTGTGCAGATGACCTCAGTGTTGCATTCTTTTATTTCAACCATCCATTCCAATTATTGTAAAGTTCGTAAGAATATAAATATAAATTATTGTAAATATTTTGCTATTAATATTATTATACTATTTTTGGAATTTTAATATACAATGTCTACATTTAAATAATTTAAAACTTTATTTTATATCGTTAAGAAACAATAATTCTATAAAAATCATTATAATAGAAAAACTGTAAATGATAATATTAAATTTTCAAAATATTTCTAATTAGAAATAAAAGGAATTGGATATTTTAGATATTAAATTAAATTATTTTATTCAGATATAATATTAAATCCTATATTTTATATGAAATTAAAATAATCGCTCGTGCAAATCACATCGCAGATTCAAATGGTCTAATTCAAATACGTAAAGTGCAATTTGCTTCTAATTGATTTCATTAATTAAGCTTTCATGATAAAATAATAAATTATGATTATCGATAATCTCTTTAGCTCTAGATAATTTAGAACAGTTTTAAATAAATTGTAATTTAAATTATTTTAAATGTTAATATATTTTCTTATTATTTTTTCATCATAATATTACAGAGCTAAAAGAGCAAGCAAATAGGTGATAAAATTGTTTTTAATTTAGTTCATATTTAATTTCATCTCTTTTAATTAATTAAAAATGTGTTAATATTATTTCATAGTAAACGGAAATTAATAACGATTAAGAAAATTGCATTAAAATAAAAATTAAGATTAGATCTGAGGCATTGCGGGAATGTAACTGAAGATATGTTTACGATTATTTCTTCGTAGATAAAAATTTTGTATCACTTTTCTTTAATTCTCAAGTGATTGTATCTTCAACGAAACTGTTTGAGGCGAAGCGTTAGCGAAGTCTCTTTTGTTGCTTATAGATTTGAGTTCGTTCTCAAAACTTGATATGGCGATTTTGATTAAACTTTGCCATTTTACATAATGATCGCTGGTAGAAGCGCACGCAAATTTTATTCTTTTTTATACCAGCGGCGACGTCAGTGCCGCGTTAGCGGAAAGTGATCGTCATAGATGGTCACCGAAACAATATTATTGACTCAATTCTTAGTATTGGGCAGAAAATGAAATGTGTCTAATTATTGATAATTTTGAAAATATAGAACTTACACGTGTTTTAGAATTTCATCTAAAATATAAACTTAAAACAGATCGGATAAGATGTTCGAATTTATAACCAAACCATTTAAGATGCGAATTATATTCGTTTTCGACAGTTATTCGTCATTATTGATTTCTACACTGATTTATAATTCCGAGTTTGGTAGTGGCCACGTTAAATGGAATGCTTTGTCTCTAATAAACAAATGACTATTATTTCATATCCATTCTTGAAAACATTTAATTACACGAAATCTTTATTACACTTAATCGAAACATTATTACTATTTATATCTTCTGAAAATGGCAAAAGGAATCAAATATCAAGAGTTGTACCTAACGCTATAATTCATATCCAATTTCTTTGTCACCTAAAAGGAAGATGTATTAATCGGTTTTTATGTGTTCGAGGCAGAAAAAATTATAATCCTTAGAAAATAGAGAATGAAAATAAGAAAATATTTTCAATGCTTTTCATTATTTTCTATATTTTTGAGATAAGAAATAATTCTTTTATTATATAGTTTAAAAATAAATTACTTTATTGTAGAATTGAATTGAGTGTTTAAACTTTATACTTTCTATCACAAAGTGAATATGATATTCTACAATTACATACTTGTCGCTATTTAAATATAAAGAAATATTTATGATCTTTAAATAAAATAAATGTCGTCTTTCAAGTAAAAGAGAAAGAAAATGTTACATAAGAAAAATATTTGATTACCGTCATTAAATATTTCGTTATTCCTTATTTGGTTATAAATTATGTTCATATTGTTCATTGTTTTATAAACTTAAGCAATATATATATAGATATACAGCAGAAAGTTGATTATCCGGTTTTCAAAAAAAGAAAAAACTAGAAGATATAGATTTTGTACAATACATATAACAAAGTACAATACACAGAGACCAAACTCTCCATGTAACTACAAATTACTATGTCATCTGTCGATTGTAGCGCCGCGAAACTAGGTCATATATGTAACATTATGTTAGACTTTGAGTAAACTAATTTACTTTCAAATACAATAATTGCATTACAGTATTTATACTTCATGAAACTATAAATGCACAGTGCTTGATTTACTGTACAGTACCTAAAACACAAAAACAAACGAGTTTCTGGATTCTCCGAAATTTCGTTTATCCGAATGACCCATTTTCCTTCAAGTTTGGATAATTGAATTTCCGCTGTATATATTTAAAATGAGGAGAAATAAAAGAATCATTATATAGTACATTTTAAAATTTTAAAATAAAAACTTAATGATATTGACCGCATTATTATCGATTACTGTACAATGTACTAGCTACACTTGTTTAATATTTATAATTAATAAAAAAAATAACAATAAAGCAGGTTTATATAATTTAATTTTAATGCTTTGCATTGTAAATTGATCTCATTTATTAATTATATAGAGAACAAAAATTAATTATTTTAGATTCGAATTACATTATCATCATGTATACTCTTTATTTAATTATATTTTGTAAAAAGTAATTAAATTTTACTTATATTATTAAGTATCATTCGTTAAATTTATATTATACATTTTTAATAACATGAAAAGTTTTTTAAAAGGAAATATTCTTAAGGAAGTAACTCGGAAGATGAAAAACTATCTTATTTAGTGAAAAAATGTTGAGTTTATAAGTATATCTACAGGACTATTAATTCTAATTTTATATATCAAAAAGTGAATTCTATAAATATATATTTCCGGATAATTTTTCCTGAATCACTTGAAAAATCAATAAGTTAAACTCTTAGTGGAACACAGTGTGGCATTTGGAAATTCCGATAAAAACTCAAAAATCTTTACTTTCTTATGAAAAAAAAAAATTATATGTAAAGGCAAAAATTCTATTAAATAAAATACACAGCCATAAATTTAAAAAAAATAAATTATCTTTATAAAAAATTCATTTTTAGGTGTATTAGTTTCATTTATTTTATCAAATTTATATAAAATTTTTAAGCGTAATTTACTATAAATAATTGTATATCATAATTAAAATTTTTAAAAAATCATTTTTATAATTGTATTAAACTTCCGAATGTTTTATTAAGAAAAATAAAACATTCGGAAGTTT